AGTATGTCCCGGAGAGCATCCTCCAGGTTGTGCCACCGGTCCAGTGCACCCCAGGGAGTGCCCTCCTGGCTACACCCCCAGACCAGTGCACCCCAGCAAGTGTCCCCCTGGCTGCATCTCTGGACCAGTGTCCCCCAGTGAACACCCTTCCATCCATGCCCCCAGATCAGTGTACCCCAGTGAGCATCCCCCCAGCTGCACCCCCAAACCAGTGCACCCCAGTGAACACCATCCCATCCATGCCCCCAAACCACTGCACCCCAGTGAGCGACCTCCCAGCTCTGCCCTCAGACCAGTACGCCCCAGTGTGCGCCGCCCCAGCCCTGCCTGCCCCACACAGGTGGGTGGGTGCCCTCGCCCCACGCTGGGGTGCCGCGCCGGGGTGCCGCCCCAGCCCCACTCACGCTGCCCTCTCTTGCAGGGAGGGCCTGGTGGCGGAGCCAGCGAAGACGCACCGGGAGTGAGGAGCGCCGGGACTGCCGGGCACTGCCCACACCATTAAAGCACTGTGCCCCACCCGCTGCCCCTTGCTTTGGCACCCACCGCCGTCACCGGAGAGGAGGCCAGGAGAGCGGGGCAGGGGCGTTTATTGGGGCCAGGGTGGCGGGGGCTGGCCCTACTTGGCCATGTAGTACTGGGTGGGCACGAAGGGCATCTTGGTGACAAGGGCCGGGTGCTGCTTCTTCCGCACTTCGACGGTGAGCGCGGTGCCGGCCCGGCTGTGCGCCGCCTCCACGTAGCCCATGGCGATGTTCTTGCCCAGGGAGGGCGAGGGGCAGCCGCTGGTCACCGTGCCTGGAGACGTGGGGACACAGGGAGGTGAGCGGGGGCTGGCAGCCTCAACACCCTCCCCTGCCATGGGTGCAGCTCGGGGCCGTGCCCACGCCAGCCCCGCTGCCCCCACCTACCCACGGGCGTGCCCTCGGCGCCCAGGATGGCCGTGTGGGGACGGATGGGGGGTCCCACCGACGTCAGCCCCACGCGCTTGCGCTTCGGCTTCTCTTTCACTTGCGCCATGATGATGGCCGCACCGGGGAAGTCCATGGCCACACGCCGGCGCTTCCCTGGGGGGCAGAGATGGGCGAGGGTCAGCGATGCCCACCTGGTCCCCGTGGGGACGTGGGGCTGCCTTGCCCCTCTGCCCGTCCTCCGGGCAGACGTGGCCCTGACCTACCCAAGGTCCACAGCAGCCCGGCCTCGACAGGCGTGGTGGTCTCGTCGATGTCGTTGCCGTAGAGGCAGAGCCCGGCCTCCAGGCGCAGGCTGTCCCTGGCCGCCAGCCCCGCCGGCCACACCTCGGGGACACCCAGCAGCCGCTCAGCCAGCTCCACCGCCCGCCCTGCGGGCACCGAGATCTGCAGGGGGACACGGGGAGGGTCAGCGGGGCACGGCCTTTCCCTCCCTCGGTACTGTGGTGGGGAGGTGCTGGCGCAGCTCCCGGGGTACCTCTACGCCATCCTCGCCGGTGTAGCCGCAGCGTGTGACCCGGCAGTCCGGCACGCCGAAGACCGTCGTGGTGACGCTGTTCATGAAGGACAGCTTGGCCAGGTCATCCGACAGCCCCGCCTGCAGCACCCGTGCCATGGAGGGACCTGGGGAGGCAGGTGGCTCTGGGGGATGGCAGTGTCTGGGGAAGGGGGGGGACACGGGGACATCACTGACATCCATCGGGCAAGGACCCGGAGAAGGACAGGCCCACGTGGGGCCCCCACTACCTTGCAGGGCCAGCAGCGCGTTGTCTGACACCTCCAGGTGGACATCACCGCCAGCGGCCCGCAGCTCTGCCGCTCTGCCCTGCCAGGGTGACAACGGGCTGCTAGCGTGGGGGCCGGGCTGGTGCCGGCCCCACGCGCGGCCACGGCCACCTCGCCCCGCGCAGCCACGGACGTCAGCGAAAGGCGGGCGGACTCGTTCCCACCGCGCGTCCCCACCTCCCGCGGGGCTCGGGCGGCCCCGTACCCTCAAGATGGCCAAGTCCTTCTCGGCGCAGCCGGCGTTGGACACCACGTAGAGGTAATCTTCCAACGCGTTGGTGACGATGAGGTCGTCCACGATGCCGCCCCTCTCGTTGGTGAGCAGCGTCAAGGTGCCCTGCGGGACGCGGCCCTTGGGAGCGTGGGCAGGCTGCCCGCCCCCCCGGCCCCCCCTGGGGCGTCCCTGGAGACCTTTGACCTGGCTAGATGCCGG